CTGGCTACAGACATAAAGAAATAAACCTAGGAAAACTACAAGACACGTGATGTATATTTTACCTGCTCAAATATAAAACAAAAAAATCATTTTTTGCTGACTTGTGTATAACACACAGTCTATACTTGTATTAATGCAGATATGTACATTACCTTTGACAGTTTATGTATTTTAAGAGCAAGGAGACCAGACATCAATAAAAACGAATGGCCCAGGTGATCCAACAACTCAGAATGCCTCTGTTGTAGTTTCCTCAGAGTTCTACATCCAGAACAGCTTAAAGGCTGCTGGCTGAGATGGTCTAGCCTCACAGATAACTCCAGCCAAGACTTGATCATTATCCTGAATTTCCTCAGGGTCCCCAAAGATGTCAGCACTCCCAGACAACAGAAAGCAGTCTAGAGAAAACAATACCCACATGCCCAAAACATGGATTATGGATATTTGTCTTTGTCTAGGGGGGTTGGCTACAAATTTTTATTGATCATGGTCAAGGGAAAAAAAAAACTAAACAAAGGAGGTTAGATTCAGGGATCTCATTCTAAAATAAAAAAGGGATATAGAAATAATAGGATAAAAGGGTAGTGTAGCTAGAATTTTCCTGCCTGGCCCACGGTCAGGGCAAATCTCTCTCACCTGCCAGTCCCACAGTTGCTCAGACCCAACCAAGTAAACACAGAGACTTATATTGGTTACAAACTGTATGGCCGTGGCAGGCTACTTGCTAACTGTTCTTACAGCTTAAATTAATCCATTTCCATTCATCTATACCTTGCCACATGGCTCGTGGCTTACTGGCATCTTCACATGCTGTTTGTCATCGTGGCAGCTGGCAGTGTCTCTCTGACTCAGCCTTCCACTTCCCAGCTTTATTCTCCTCCTTGTCCCACCTATACTTCCTGCCTAGCCACTGGCCAATCAGTGTTTTATTTATTGACCAATCAGCAACACACTTGACATACAGACCATCCCACAGCAGGGTAGATTATTGAATCTACTTTTAAACTAAAAAAACAACTATTAGCCTTAAATATTTTATGTTGGTATGTATTTTGGTTAATTGGTAAAAATTTAAAGTTATTTTTGTTATACTGTATGTATGTTTCTATTCTTGTTTAGGGTATTATGCTTGTGCAGCTCACTTAAAATGTAATGTATAATTAAGAAATACAGTCTAATAGTCATCTATAGTAATCAAACTTGTAGTCATACCAGGTATATTTTCAAGGTTAAACAGATATATTAGATGGTCTTCAAACACTACAAAGATCTACAGAATATGACATTTAAAATATTTAATAACCTGAGGTTTTCCATGATAGTGAGACACATCTGCTCCTTACAGCACCAGTTTACTTTAAAAAAAAAAAAGGATGATGGGCATTGAAGAACCTCCATATTGGAGTTTGTTTTCTTTGTGGCAAAAGCCAGCCACTGGGCAAAGAAACTACCCTTGCCTAAATTGCTGAGAGTATATTATCCAAAGTGGACCAGTAGGATGCAAAAGAAAGTGACTGCCAAACTTTGTCAAGACAAGGTAGGACAGTCTTTCAAAATTCCCTGCTTCTCAGAAATCTCTGTCAGATATACTAGGCCTGTAAGCCAAAGGTAGATGCCCCAATGCTACAGAGGAACTTTGGGTGACTGTCTAGACAGCCAGTAATCCCTGCCATTAGGCAATATTACATCCTTTTGGTCTTTGATGGAGTTAAAGACTAAATAACTAGACTTAGTTTTCCTTAGTCATGATAAAAGGTAAATTAGGTATAAAACTTTAGACTCACAAAGATAAGATAGAGTTTTTTTCTCTAATTTTGCCAAATACAAATGGACTGGATATTGTAACTGTAATTCTTACATGATAACTGTTTTGTTATATATAGTTTTACTATGTTAAAGCTAAAGCCTTCCTTTTTAATTAGACAAAAGGGGGAAATGCTGTGGAATAATCCTTTTGTACACTGTGACTATATATTACTCCCATTGGTTTAAGAAAAGGCTAACTGGTCAATAGCTAGGCAGGTAGAGGTTAGGCAGGACTTGCAAACAAAAAGAGAGCACAGGGAAGTGTAGTAGGACAGGCCCACAGGATCGAGGAAATTGGCTCAAACCAGTTGCCAAGGCATGCACATGATGTACTTCCTTATGAGCCAACCTGGAGTCTGACTGAAGGCCTAGCAACAGGTACTTTCAGAGTTTCTGATTGCTGTTGGAGTTCCTGATCATGCCCAGCCAATGAGGGATGACCACACATTGCCACCAAATCAGAATACAGCTTGGGTGCTGGGAGGAGGGTATATAAGGCCTTCCCCATTATTGAATAAATGAGTCTGCTGTTTGCCTTCAACTGACTCCTGGTGTCTGTGTCATTGATACCGTACCTTCTCACCCCCTCCCCCGAGGGAGCCGTTAGGATCCAGCAACACCTGACACCTGAACTTCTGTTATTTTCTCTTTCCCAGTGCAGATTCAGATCATCTCCCTCCCTTCACTCAGGGTGCTTGACAGTGCCCCCAAGACGATGTGTTTCAGTGAGAAAGCCCTTCAGTGTTGTGTTCTTTCAATCCCTTTGGCAGGTAAGTGTTGGGACCCCCATTTCTTTCCTTCTTTTGTGCTGTCTGTCATGTTTGTCTGCCTGTTCTGTTAGAAAGGCACTTTTTTTTCTGTTTTGGTTTGCCCAGTGCCTCCACAGAAGGATTGACCTCCTAGGAGGTGGAAACAAGACTTGACTCCTGAATGCCATCCCTCATCTGGAGGTACTTTGTGGGCATATGGCCATGACCCAAAAAAACCCACGGAAGTCCCCCAGCTATTGCTTCAAAAATCTGGTAATCCAAAAATCTATTGGACAATGCCCATTTTTCCATACTCCCCAATGCTGACCATCTGTTTTGATGGACAAGCTGTCAAAGGTTTGGTTGACATGGGTACAGACACCACCATTTTAACTGAGACTGAGGTGCTTCGCTTCCCTCATTGGAAGTTTAAACCCAGCACCCCCGTCAGTGATGTGGGAGGCCAACAAGATTCTAAGATGACCATTCATCTGATCCATTGGAAGGATCTTGATGGCAATCAGGGAGCCATTCACCCTATCATCTCTACTATACCTAGGAACCTGTGGTGCAGAGATATTTTGGAGAATATGGGTGTTGTCCTAACTACAGATGACAGGGCCTTCTTTGATGAACTTGAGGTCCATAAAAAGATGGGTCTTGCAGTCTACAGCCCTACACAAGATCCATACCCCCAATTCTAAGGGCCACTGTCCCCATGAGATCCACCACAATCGAGCCCCCAGCCCTATTACATAGATGCCCTGTCTCAGAAAAAAAAAAAAACAACTATGGGTGGAACAGTGGCCTATAATTGAACACAAGATGTCAATCTTTTTTTTTTTTTTAAGAATTTATTTATTTTTATTTTATGTGCATTAGTGTATGTATGTCTGTGTGAGGGTGTGGGGTACCCTGGAACTGGGGTTACAGACAGTTGTGAGCTGCCATGTGGGTGCTGGGAATTGAACCCGGGTCCTCTGGAAGAGCATTCAGTGCTCTTAACCACCGAGCCATCTCTCCAGCCCCTGTCAATCTTAAAGGAAGTAGTTTCAGAACAGCTAAAGATGGGACACATAGAACAGCTAACATGAAATTTTCCAATTAAATCAGACAAGGGCAGAGATTATGGCCTTTGACTCTTTATTTTTTGAAAAGTTTTGGCATAATATAAAAAGGCTGTTTGATCCCTCTTGGATTCTCACTTATGTTTTGATTGGTGGGGTGGTGCTTTTAATCTTTTTCATTTTTAAGTGTCTCCCACACCATAACTGGCAACAAGAGGCAGCCACTAAAGTGACTCTAAAGGTGTTAATGGCTCTTAGACATCCGTCTCATAGCCCTCCCTAGGAGGTTATGCATGCCTGGCTTTCTGAAATTGAAAAGGCTACTGCCTGACCCTCCCCACCTGGTGTGACTCCCCAGGGATGGATGTTCTTTGAGGACTGATAGTCAATGATGGATAAGAGCTTGTTTGGCAAGCCAACCTAAGACAGGCACAGTCCAGTTACTGAGCCCACCTGAGGTGGGGTCAACAAGGCCAGAGCAAAGAACTCTGACTCTTGCTGAGCACTCACATAAGAAGATAAAAGGGTGGATATGATCCAGCAACAGGGAAGAAGGGCGGAGTCACCAGGAGATGCAGAGGAAGCAGGAGATGAAAATACCATGCTGAAAAATGGTACTGTGACATGGTAGAGTGTAGAAGAAATATGGGTTAATTTAAGTTAAAAGAGATAGTTAGTAACAAGCCTAAGCTATTGGCCAAGCATTTATAATTAATAATAAGTCTCTGTGTGATTATTTGGGAGTTGGCTGGTGGGACAGAGAAGTCTGCCTACACTCCTTCCTCAATGAGTCAGATCATAGGGTGTCATTTATTTGGCTTCTGGTTCTCCATAGACATTGTGGCCCTGTCTATGGTGAACTAGCTGACCTCAGAAACCCAAGGGGAGCTGGCTCCCTCAAACCCTGGAGTAGCTCAGCAGATTTCCTTGGCTCTACCCTGGGATCCAGGGGAGATGCAGTCTGTATTGTGTGCCTGTTGCTTTTATCTACCTACAATCCTTAAAACTGTTTCTTTCCTTATCTTTGGTGACCATTGGGGCTGCCTGTAACAGACCCCCAGATCTTAGCATACTGATGCCATGTTGGCAGCACCAGTCAACACATAGATGCAAACACCTGCCAAAAAGGGAACAAAAGACTAGTCCACCAAAGACCTAGCCATAGTTCCAGGATCCAGGAAAGTCCCTAACTGTACTAATCTTGCTTTTTGGTTTCTGAAGTTTTGGTTTTTGCTAGCTGAAGTGTGTCAGCCAGGAGGTGGATTTTGTGCATAAAAGACAAAGGACAATGAGGCTTGGTCTGCATGATTTGGGCAAGGTCCCCCTGCAACTGCCAGCCAGCAATACAGACTTTCTTTGATTGCTAGAGACCAAGATGCCAGGACACTGGGGGCCTTGGATTCCTTGGGCTGAGCACTGGGAACTGACAGTTCCTAGGGGATACACACCCTGAGAAGTTCCAGGGCCCCAGGAACTCCTCTCATCTCTGCTTCTGTCAATCCAGAGGTTCTTGACCCCTCCACCCTAAATGGGAAACCACAGAAAATCGTCTGGATCTGTCCCCTTCAGAGGTGAGTCTGTTATGGCATCTTCTGAATAGGGCACTTAGGGAAGACTGGATATACCCCTAATCCCAGTGTCTGGGATCCTGAGAGACCATTACTGGATCTGCTAGTTTCAGTCTGTGTGGTGGCCACCCTGGTTGTCTTAATTATTGCCTGTCTGTGTGCCTCAGTGTGTTTCTGCCAGTTCTTTGGTTGGAGAGACAAAGCTAAAGTGGGAGGGGGAGTGAGCAGTCTCAAGCCACCATTGGAGTGCACGGCTTCGAGGAGGGTTTTACAGACTAGGACCAACATATTGATGAGTGGCCTTCTCTGCTGTAAGACCCACACCCCTGGCCTAAGACCTGTGTCCCCTTGCTGGGGATTTGTATCCTTTTGGCTCATCCAGGTCAACCAGAGAAACCCCAAATCTCCTGTTAAATTTATTTCCCCCTTCCCTATGCCCCAGTGGGGCCCCTGGTTGTGCCCAGGGTAGGGTAGACAGTCCCCCCAGCTTCCCTCTACCACCACTATGAAGCTCTTCCTTCTGCCTGCTCCTAGCTCTGACTGCTTCTCACTTGCTGTCCAGGCCCTTGTCTTTGCTCTGCTCCCTGGAATGGTGTTGGACATGTGCCTCTCGCCATTGTGCCCCTTGTCTTGACTCCAAGAGTATCTCTGTGGGTCACCCTTCTCTCTCCTTGTTTCACTTACTGGTTCTTTCTCTACACCCCTGCTCATGGTGCCCTGTCGAGGGTCCCATGTGGAGGTGGGGAGGGACCTGGCCTCTCTGGAACCTCTAGCCCTTCACAGTGTGGCCCCTCAATGCATCCACAAGGATCCTTCTGCTGTCCATCTTCTTGCCATCTGTGTGGTTGTGTGGAGTGTGCACAGGGGAGGGGAAACAGTTCTGAGGCCCCACGCTCCCTTTGTTTCCTCCTATGCCCACTCCAGTAGACATCTGCACCAGGGAAGGAGGAGATAGTTCCTCCAGCTGTGCTGGGGTTGGGGGAAGAAGTTTTTCCTACCTTGGGCTCCCTCTCCCCTCCTCACATGCATACATGTAGAGTGGCTGTAGTTACAGGGGTTCTGGGAGGAACTCCCCTGGGCAGGGGCAGCCCCCACCCACCTAAATGAGTTGCCTCCAAAGGGTCCAGCACCTGGAAGTTCACCTCCACCCCCTTTGATGGTTTATGTCTCCTTCTCAACCAGTGATCTGTACAACTGGAAAACTCAGAATCCATTATTCTCAAGAGAACCCCAGGCTCTCATTAGTTGCCTGGAGACAGTCTTTTACACCCACCAGGCAAACTGGAATGATTGCCAAAAGCTCTTGGCCACCTCTTCATGGCCAAGGAGTGGGCCAGAATCCAACTTGAGAATAGGAAAGCTGTCCTGGGGCTGGGCAGGGGATCCCTGCCCAACAGTGCAGCCTAGATAGAGTCGATAGTCCCCTTTGCCCAACATGACTGGGACCCCCAACACTGACCAAAGTAAGGAGGCTCTGGACAGTTTTCACCAGGCCCTTTTAGAAGGATTGAAGGCAGCTGCTAAAATGCCTGCCAATTTGTCTCTAAGATGAACGAGGTAATACAGTAATCTCGAGAATCACCTGCTGGTTCCTGGAGCACCTTTGTGAGGCTTATCCAGTGTTCACCCCTGTAGACCCACCAGAAAAACCAACAAGCAACCGATATTGCTTTTGTTGTGCAGTCAGACCCAAATATTAGAAAAGAACCCTAGGGGGCTGGAGAGATGGCTCAGCTATTAAGAGCACTGACTGCACTTCCAGAAGACCCGGGTTCAGTTCCCAAGTACCCACATGGCAGCTCACTGCTATGTGTAACTCCAGTTCCAGGGAACATAACACTCTCACAGAGACATAAATGCAGGCAAAACACCAATGCACATGCAATAAAAATTTAAAAAAAGAAAGAAACTTCAGAAGTTAGAAGGGGTTGAGGGTATGAATAGGTCCCAATTATGGGAGATTGCTCAGAAGGCTCATACCATGACTCTGTAGGAGAAAAAAAAACCAAAAATTGGCCCAAGTAGTAGTGGAAATTGTAAAAGAGGTCCCATAGGGGGAGCCCAAAACACCTCAAAGGGGGAGGGAGAAGGACACCCTGTCCAAGGTAAGTGACTGCAAAGGGGATCCTTGCCAGGCACTGGGACCATGGAAGAGGCCATGGATAAGGTCCACTCATCCAAAAGACTCGATCCTTTTTCTGCTGGTTGACTCCTACCACCACACTAGTAAAAGAAGCTGGCAGACTGACTTTGGGTTAGGAACTGTTGTTCCTAACCACCCTACACTCTGTAGAGCACTCTTGAGGGAGACTCCAGAGAGGTGAATGTCCAATGCCCAAATAATGCATTATCAATCACTTCTTGTAGACTATCCCAGTATCTAATTCTGTAAAACTTCAGCCACCAGCCCAGCCAACCTGCTGCCAGATGATAACCCAGAAAAGCCCCTTCATGATTGCATGGGAGTGACTGAGGTGCTCCAATCCACCAGACCCGAATGAACAGATGTCCCCCTGCAAAAAGTCAAAGAGGTACTGTATACCAATGGGAGCAGTTTTACTCAAGATGAAATCAGATATGGTAGACTGCAGTGCCACTTTGGACAGGACAGTATGGGCCCAGTCTCTCAGCTGAGGGACATCAGCACAAAGGGCTGAGCTCTTGGCATTAATCCAGGTGCTTCATAGGGGGAAGGGCAAAACCATCACTGGGTGCTCAGACAGTCAGTATGCATTTGCCATAGCCCATGTCCATAGTGCCCTCTATAGGGAGAGGGCACTCCTTACCATAGTCGGGAAGGAAATTAAAAATAAAGAGGAAAGGCTAGCCCTACTAGAGGCCACATGGCTGCCCAAAGAGGTAGTTGCTGTCCCCTGCTAAGAGCATCAAAAAGGGGGATCCCAGGAGGCCCAAGGAAACCGGGCAACAGACTTAGCCACCCAGAAGGTGACCCTAGAACCAGTGGGGCCTCTCCAGATCTTGGTCACCCTGTCTGAACCTGGATTGCTCCAATGCCCAAATTATACACAGGAAGAGGCCAAATGTCAGGAAGGGAGGATGTGAAGCAGGACACAAACAAGTGGTGGTTCTTACAGGATGGGAGACCCCAACTCCCTGCTGCTCTCAGAGATGAATGCTCATCAGACTCTCCCAGGCCACCCACCTGGGGGCATCAAAAACTGCTGACTTACTCAGGCCCATGTATTACATTCCTCAACTAGACAATCTTGTCGAAGACATGGTGTTCTGATGTACCATTTGCGCACAAGTGAACCCCAAAGAAGGAGACAAAGCCCTGGAAGGAATCCACGCCCAAGAAAGCACTTCTGGAGAACATCGGGAAGTGGAATTTATCCATGGTTCTCAGGTATAAGTATTTCTTAGTTGTCACGGATACCTTCTTTGGATGGATGGAAGCCTATTCCACCTGAATGGAAACAGCCTCAGTGGTCACCAAGAAACTCCTCCAAAAGTTAATTTCTAGATTTGGGTTGCCCTTCTCCCTGTGGTCCAGCAATGGCCTGGCCTTCATGGCCAACATTTCCCCAAATCTGGCAAAGGTCCTAAATGTTGATTGGAAACTAAGCTCAGGGTAGGTAGAAAGGATGACTAGGACCTTAAAAGAGACTTTAACTAAATATGTCCTCGAGACCAGCAAAAATTGGGCCAACCTCCTACCATATGCCTTTCTAAGGGCCTCTGTCACCCTATTGGAAATCATTTGGGAGGCCACCCCCTCCCTTCTTAAGCTATTAATAAGGCAGACATTACTAACCACCTCTTCCTTAAGTCCTAACAGGCCCAGAAACAGACCCAAAGGACTATTCATCAGACAATTCAGGAGGCTGCACCTTTGTCCAAGTATGAGCCTGCCCACAAGTTCCAGCCTGGAGACCTCGTGTGAGTAAAGAGGATCTCAGCTCAGATCCTGGAGCCAACATAGAAAGGCCCATGCTCTGTGGTCCTCACCACCCCCACAGCACTGAAGGTCACTGGTCACCTCATGGAGCCACCAGACCCAGCTGAAGGAGGCTACAGAAGATGACAGATGGGTCATCATTACATTCTCTCCATGCCTGACTTGGACGCTACAATTATGATTGTCCAATTTTGTCTTCTTTGTTTCCCTGTGGGAAAGGCCTCAAACTCCCATAGGTCAGGACCTTGCCTATGGGAATTAAGAAAGACCAGGACTGGGGAGCTCACAGCCAATCTATCCACTGAGACCCAACCCACCTTCCAGGAAGATTTCTGTAAACTATTACAACCAGAAGATCCAGGGGGATGGTTCACTCACTTCTGGGGCTGTGGGTCCATTGGTGAAGAGAAGGAGCACTGATTTATCCAGTACTATGCCTGCCTGATGCCCCATCCCCCTCAGATGTTAGAATCGAGGAGAATACGATTGAGCTCAGTGGAGTTGCAAAACCAAGTCCTCCTGGGGGCACACTGATCCCTTCTTAGTCCTAGAAAGAAAACCATCATCACCTACCTGTGGCCACTGGCAATGCAATCCCATATCCATAAAGGTTAGGGCCTGGCAGGAAACCCATTATTGGGAAACTGGTAGGACCTGGGGCGTCAAGTTATAGCTGAACGGTCCAAACCCAGGCAGCAGTTAATATTCAAAAGAAACCTGTACCTAGGGTCATCAGCCTGTTGGGCTGAACCAGCCTATCTTGGCACCCCTGAGATATGACCCTCTCCAAGGCAGTAAACCCTCTACCTCCACTTTGCCAAGGAACTCCCTCAGTAACCATGAGGATCAAAGTCAAGGGGCAGAAGAAGCCAGCCCCTTGGAGTTTGGTATCCTAAGTGGAGGGTACCAGTTTCTTAACCATTCTCAGCCAGACATAGATAGAGAATGCTGGCTATACCTAGACCCCAGACCCCCATATGATGTTGGGATTGGAACTAATCAAACAATAAACTCCACTTCCAACCCTAACAGCTGTAAAAGGGACCAGCCTAAGCTCACCCTGGGTGAGCCTGCAAGGGAAGGGTGCCTGCTTAATGTCACCGAGATACCCCCTAGAGAGTTTCCCTGTGCAGATCTCTGTAGCCAGGCACAGCAGCTTAACCCCAGGAATGGTGGTTGAGTGTATTTCCAGGCCTCAGAGAGTACCGGGTTTGCTTGCAGTAACGGCTTAACCAAGTGTACATCTTGTGATGGTTTGCACTGGACGAGAGCCCACTCTTTTGTGTCCTTGTGTACATCACACCACAGGTGTTCGTCTGTAAGAAGAGGACAGAGCCCGCCTAGATCTAGACTCTGGGCCCTTAATACTAGTTTTTCAGTCTGGAGCCTAGTAGCTCTGATAAAGCAGCTTCATCCTGTTCATCCTGGACTTCTGGACATGGGACCTCCCCTGCCCCCAGAAAACCCCAGTTTGATTTCTGTCCCTTGGAACTAGAAATGTCCTGACTGTCAGTGATGATTGGGTATCCGAGAAGAGATGTCTAGATTTAACAGTGGGCCACATTGTAGTAGAAGATGGGAGTTTTCTTTCCCTCTTCCTCCCTCTGTGTCTTATGCCAGTCTTCCACAAAACTGCAACCAGCACGTCATTGTGCTTGCCTCCTGGGCCCTCCCGAGTCTCTCGAATGAGGAGTGCTTGTGGCTCAGTTTATCTTTCCTTTTTACTTAGTCGATCCTTCAAGACTCAGGAATAACTCTTCGTTTCTAAGATTTTGGAACAAAAATTGAGTCAGATTTGGGAACTGATCTTTGACCACATAGGGAGGCTGGTGGAGGGGAGTTGATTTTCACTGTTTCATATTCTCTGTGTTTCTGCTTCTCAGCCAGGTGCCATATGGTGCCAGGCATATGGGATGTTTAGTAAGGATTGGTAGGCTAAAGGAAATAGCGTGCGCGCACACACACCACCACCACCACCACCCAGCATAAAATATGTGATCTCAGCCCTTAGGGCGTCTCCCAGTCTGGTTGGGGATTCGATCTCAGTAAGGTCTTCAGCCCATTTGGCATTCTGGGTGGGGGAGAATTGTGACTCAGAGGAGAGAGGACCTTGGATTTGGGGAGGGGCTGAGGAAGGATCTGAGGAAGGATGACTGAGGTTGGCTTTGTAAAGACAGGTGGGTTTTAGTGAGGGGACAGTCGGAGATGGAGTTGTAAAATGAGGGTGGTGTCCCCTCAGGACTGTCTGTAGACTGTGGTAGCTACAGGTAGGGGTTCTGGCTGGTGAGGTGGAGAGGGTCTCTCAGGGTGACCAGGATCCCACTAATGCACAGAAAAGAACCAATTAAGAAGCCCTCCTTTTCCACCCACATTGGGCCAAGATGAGAGGTCCTTGGCTCAGGCACACAGCGATGGAGTTTGTGTGTATTGTGGGTGTGAGCACGTGTGTGGGTCTGCCATTCAGTGTGTCAGTACCTTGGGGTTTGTCTGCTTGTTTGGGGACTTTTAGTTGGAGGTGACACAAGGCAGGTGGTGAAGTTTTTATTTTTTACTTGTTATTGTTTTGTAGCAGGAGACAATTTGTTTCAAGCTAAGGGATGATTGCAGGATTCCCCAGCCTTGACTCCCACTCATGCCTCCATGCACCCCAGCTCTGTTGTTTCTTGTAGAGAGCTAGGCAGGGAGTGAGATAGGAAAGGGGTGATGTCTCTTGTCAGCTTCCCAGCTAGGATCCTGGTTGCAGACAAGGGGCCAGTGGGTGACCTCTCTCTTGCTGGCTCTGGTTCTGCTGGCTTTCACCTTCCAGTCCACTCCGCCAGACTCTCCTAGAGCCCGTTCTTTAGGGAAAAACCACCCTGATTGTTGGTAAAGGGCCTCTAGAAAGGCACCTGTCCCTGAGTAGCCTCCTTGTTCACTATGGCCTGAATGTTCATGGCAGCCCGGATGCCAGACTTGATGGCAGTGTCTATCCAGCCATGGGGCAGGCAGGTGTGCTCTCCAGCAAAGTGGATGAGGCCCTCTGGCTGGAAGAGCTGCTCCGAATAGTCCACAGTTTGGTAGGGTGTGAACTGGGCAAAGGCACCAATGGTGAAGGGGTCCAGAGACCAGTGCTTGACCACCGCTTTTGGGCACATGCGCTTTAGCTCCACCTTGGGTATGTGGTGCATTGCCGCCAGGTCGTCCAGGACAATATTCACCACCTGTTTGGACTTCATGGCAGTCAAGAAGGAGGAATCATCGCCCAAAGTGTAAGAGGCCAGCAGGACACACTTGCCACCTGGCAGGCTGTGGCTAGGATAGTAAATGTGGCGTGCGGGCCGGTCTGTGATGGAGTTGCCTCCCCGGATGCCATCCTGTTCCCAGAAGCATTTGTTGCACACCAAACCCACCTTGGTAGCACTGATATAATGCACGGAGCGCAGGGCTTGTGTTTTATCTGGGGACAGGGGTGGCTGGAAGGTGATGAGGCGTGTGGCCTTGGCTGAGGCTGAGTTGATGACGTAGTCAGCAGTGAGTTGGTGCAGTGTGGAGGTGGGCCCATCTGTGCGGTACAAAACTTTGACCTGAGGCCCATCTCTCACCACTGTTTCTACTCTGGACTTCAGATGGATGGTGCCAGGCTTCAGGCTGGCATTAAAGCCATTGGGCAGTTGGTCAAAGCCACCGGTGATCTCTGAAAATCTACGGGGGTGGAGAGGGGGAGATGAGGTGGGGAGACACCCCCAGATCTGTGTGTCCCAGTTCTGGCCATTTCTTTGGTCTGAAAAGGGAAGGATCTATCTCCCTGCCCTCTTGTGTGGGATGTTTTATAAACATCACCTTCATGAATACACAGCCTCGTGTCAGGCAGGCATTGTTACCCGAGCACCCCCTACACAGTAAATACCCAATAAGCCAGTGCTGGGGACTGGGTTCTTCCTAGCCCCGAATCAGCCTTACTCATCATTTCTGGAGAAGAGGCTAGCAGTCCTTAGGGACTCCAGGAAGGACTTGTAGTACCCAACATTCTCATTCATCACATCCCCGATCATCTCGATTGCGCCTTTGCTCAACCTTCCTTCCTTCATCAGATAAGCCTGTGGAAGTAGGAACCATAGACAGAAGTGTGGCCCAGAAGGTGTAGTATGTAGGAAAGCTTTAGCAGGGGCCTGGGCTTTCGTATAGGAAGAGGGGATTCTGTCTGCAGGACACTGCCCCAGGACCTTGGCTGAGCACAGAGCCCGTCACTCCATTCTGGGCCTCCTGTGTCACTTACCTTGGTGGAGTAAGAGTCATAAAAGGATATCAGTTGGCTGCAGGTGAATGTCTTCATATGTTCTTTGACCTGCAGAAGGGAGAAGAGACAATAATCAAGCTGGGCCTCCAGGTGACCAGGACATCTAGGCTGCTGTAGACAAGGTCATAGGGTGACAGATGCCTCACATGCCTTTAGATTAGAGTCAGGTTCTTTGGATGTTCCTTGGGGAGGCTGGAAAAAGCCAGGAAAGGGCAGTTTCCAGAGCTCCTGGACACTGCTCCTTCCCTTCATTTAAAGACAACCGTACCTTTGCTGAGACAGTCTCACATAACTTAGGTTGGTTTCAAACTCACTGTATAGCTGAGGCTGCTCTTCAGTTCTAGATCCTCCTGCCTCCACCTCCCAAGTACTGAGATTGACAGCTTGTACTACCACACCTGACTTGAAACAAAAGACCAGTTCAAGATGAAAATCTAAGGTGCATATTCAGTTGGTAGAATACTTGCTGAGGACTTGAGCGCTATCCCCAGCACCCACATGAAAGTAGGGTGTGTTGGAGCTGAAGAGACAGCTCAGTGGTTAAGACTGTTCTTCCAGAGGACCCAGGTTCAATTCCCAGCACCCACATGTTTACAACTGTCTGTAACTCCAGTTCCAGGGGATCTGACACCTTCACACAGACATACATGCACGCAAAAACACCAATGCACGCTGGGCGGTGGTGGCGCACGCCTTTAATCCCAGCACTCGGGAGGCAGAGCCAGGCGGATCTCTGTGAGTTCAAGGCCAACCTGGTCTACAGAGTGAGATCCAGGACAGGCTCCAAAGCTACACAGAGAAACCCTGTCTCAAAAAACCAAAAAAAACAAAAAAAAAAAAAACAAACAAAAAAAACCCCACCAATGCACATCAAATTTTTAAAAAATCAGGGTGTGGTATCACAGGACTGTAATGCCAGAAGGTAGAAACAGTAGGATTCCTGGGACTTGCTGGCGAGCCAGTCTAGCAGAATTAGTAAGCTCTCGGTTCAGTGAAAAACACTGCCAAAGATGGAATAAAACAAGGTAGAAAGCAATTGAAGAAGACAGCTGATGTTGACCACTGGCTTCTACACAGATACGCACATGCACGCACATTTACCTAAACACACACGCGTGCGCGCGCGCACACACACACACACACACGCACGCACGCACGCACGCACGCACGCATGCACGCGCGCTCACGCACAGGCACATACATACACACAAACACAGACACTTTAAGATAAAGATCTTCACTGTCATCTAGGATGACTGATTCACTACCAAGGGCTGCCTCATCTGGTTGCCCCTTTCTTTACACTGCTCCCGACCAAGTCCTGTTCCCTGGATGCCTCAAAGACAGCAGAGAGGGGTTGAAGGTGGAGTTGAGGGTGGTGACATCATCAACAGATGTTGTGAGGCCGATGGACCAATGATAAGAATGCTGGGGGGGGGGGGTCAGGTGATCTGAATCCTCGTACTGATTTGCTGTGTGATTTTAGGCACCTCCCCTTTCCTACTTGATCCCCCCTGGGAAAGGCAGCGGGCACCTTAGTGATGGCTTGCTGGAAGAGGTATTGGGCAGTTTTGCTCTTCTCAGTGGAGTTCACGGGGTAGCCCAAGATCTCTGGGTTAGCCTTGACTTCCCAGGCACGATAACGGTGTCCATTGAGTAGGTACCAGGTGTTGTTATTATTCTGGATGAACTTATTCAGCTTCAGGCCAAATTTCTTGACATAGGTGTGGGTTAGCCTGGAGCAGAGACGGGCATCATAACATTCTTTTCATTCTGGTCCTATATTAGAAACTATTTCTGGTGAAACCAGTGTAAGCTTGTGCCGAGGAAACTCTAATTGCTTGTTCAATTGTAATCTCATTTAATGTTGTGGGCATTGGCTCCCTGTCTCCCAAGGCTGTAGAGGGTGAGAAGTTCATTGAATTAAGGCCCTTTATGAAATCCCAGCTAACAGGACTCAAAAGTATAGACAAATGTCCTTTGTTTCAGACAGCATTTGAGATCCCACCATGTACTTCTAAGAACTTCAAGGCTGTATTTAATGACTCCCACTTTGGGCTGGTGCAGTTTTTTATGTTTTTGGTGGTTTGAGGATGAGTGTGGGTTCAATTTATATTAAAGGCAAAAAAAAAAAAAGAAAAAGAACAAAAACATCTGTGGAGATAGGGTCTAGAACTAATTAGTGCTCAACAAATAATAGATATTATTAATAGTAATGTGCTATAATTTCTCAGTGTATTTTGATGTAAGTGACAAATATGAAACTGCCCATGTTCACACTCTACAGTTTGATGACTGGCAGCAATGATTGTAATTGTCAGTTTGGGGTCTATCACTTCCTGTGACCACAGCTTTCTGTGACCACAGTCTTCTCTCTGAAGTGGGAGTTGAGTATCAGCCCTGACTTACTGGGTTGGATCACATGACACAGTGAGTCTGAAAGATCTTAGGCATGATGGCATCAGGGTCCCTCCTGCCTTTTCCTCATCCCCACTCCACCCCTTTTGCTCCTTCTCTTGTATGGGACTTACTTGTGACTTTCCGGGATTCGCATGGGTCCTAGATCAAAGTACCAGCCTTCCTCCTTGTTTCTGACTGTGGCCACCCGACCTCCGATGTGGTGACTGGCCTCCAAGATGGTTACCTGGAGTTGAGAGAAGCGGCTGTCATTCTTAGGGAGTACTGTCCTTTCTCCCCACCCCACTTCTCACCTCCAAATAGCCATAGGCTCTGGCCTGAAGGCCATGAGCACGCAGGATAACCTCACTGGGGCTGTTTGCTCCAGAGGATCCCGAGTCATTTGAGGCCTTTGTCTTGGTAGCATAGGTCCTTCATTCTTGTCTCCATAAGAACGTGAAGGGCAGTTAGCTTTGACTAAGGACCAGGGGGTTCGGAGACTGGTGGGTACATGCAGTTGCACATCACCCCCTGTCGGGTCGCTCACTCCTTTTTCACCCCAGGAAGCAAATTGGAGGCTGATGATCAAGGCCTTTCGAGACCTTCTTACCTTGTGCCCAGCATCCTGTAGGGTCTTAGCTGCGACTAGGCCTGCTACGCCGGCTCCCACGACCACCACATGCTTGGACAGTGGGGAGGTATGGAGCCCGTTCTGGGCTGTGAGAAGGAAGGTCTCATAATTAGGGTCCTGGAAACACTTGTCAAGGTCCTCATAGAAGGCAAGGCAGCTGGAGATGGATAGCAGGATTCCCAAAATAAGGATTCCTGGGGGCAGAGAAAGCAAGGGGGTGGTCTTTCTGGAGCCCAGGCTCTGGGACCTGTTTATCCAGGATGAGCTTGACTGTGGGAGCTGGTGGCACAGGGCAGTCAGGTGAGGGCAGTGTCTGACAAGTGTTTGCTTGTAGATACAAGTATTTGGTGTTCTGTCTCTGAAGGCAATTGTGCTGTGCAGGGTATTGTGAAATGTAATGTTATTTGTGTGATTAATGTGTGATTGTGAATATAGCTTGCACCTTGGAAGCTGGTGGGTGTGGGAGGTTCACAGCTCACTACACATGTGTCTGCTCCTGATGGAGAGTGTGCATGTGTGCTCACCTATGAGTGTGTAAAGGACTGTGGTTGTGTATAACTGTGGGTGGGAGTGTGGTTGTAGTTTGCTCTTGCTTTGTATGACTGCATGGTTCGTGACTGTATATGAAGGATGCTTCTGTGGAACAGTGTGGTTGTCTGAGTGTGTATGAATCTATGGGAAAGTGAGATGGACTGAGAACTGGAGTGTGAGATGGGCTGAATTTGAGAGTGAGGAGGATGAGATGTGTGAGAAGGTGGGTGCATGTGAGGGTTCTCTGAATGCATCTGGACAGTGAGGCTGTGTGGGGGAGAGAGTGAGAGAGAGGGGGAGAGGGAGAGAGGGGTGTGTGCATACTTGTGAAAAGAGGTGTGTGTGTGTGTGTGTGTGTGTGTGTGTGTGTGTGTGTGTGTGTGAAATAGGTTCAGTTCTCTGAGTGGGAGTGAGAAGTGACCTGTGGGAAACAGGCAGTCCCTGCGTTTTCTCCAGCCTCATCGATGTTTCTCCAGGCTCCCTAGGTATGTAATGTGATACCAAGATTAGAACTCATCACTTAGGGGGCTGGAGAGATGGCTCAGAGGCTAAGAGCACTGACTGCTCTTCCAGGGGTCCTGAGTTCAATTCCCAGCAACCACATGGTGGCTCACAACCATCTGTAACAAGATCTGGTGCCCTCTTCTGGCCTGCAGTCATACATGCTGTATACATAATAAATAAATAAATCTTAAAAAAAAAGAACTCATCACTCAGATAGTTAATGACTACCACACAACAAGTCTTGCGTGACTTGATTTTCTTTTTCACAGTTAGCTAGTCTTGTCTGACATGAAGAGGCTGTCCTCCATGTCACCTGCTCTTAAGTGGACCAGGCAAGGACTGGAACTCTGAGCTTCTCCCAGAAGCTGAGTTTCTGGCTGGTGAGAACCCTCTTAGTTTGGTCTTTGTGATGTCAAGGCAACTGAAGCTCCTCAAAGGAAGAGGATTTTTAGGGGCCACCAGCCGAGGAGGTGCATTAGACCCTTCCCACTGTAGAGACAGCTTTCCGCTGGGACAACTCACCAGAAGAGAGGCGAGACATCGCCAAGCTCAAAGGAGAGACTCCCTAACCCTCAATCCCTCTCCCCACCCCACAGATCTACCGTAGCCTTCTTATCCAGTCTCCAGCCCGTATAGTTTCCCGTGAGCTATCAGCATTTGTTTCTTGGTCCCTCTGTACTTTGCCTTGAGTGGATCCAACCCCCAGACCCCTCCTCCAGATCCCCCTCCATTGAACTTGTTTTCAACACCCTGACCCATCCCCAGGTCCTGCTGAAGCCAAATCCCTGCCTCAGTTCTTACCCTCTTTACTCTTCTATGGTCCTTGGCTGAGATGTCTTCAGATCTGCGCCCACCCTGTTGACCCATGTCCCTCTCCCATCCAGTACCTATGCCTCTTTCAGTGTCTAACACTTCCTGGCTTGGTCTTTTCCAGACCTGGAGGAAGACCCCACTTACCATTCATCTCGGCCATGGCTCTGAAACTCATGCTGAAGTCCGAGCAGCTCATCCTCTCTTTATGAAGGAGCCACACCACTCTGGCAATATTTGGCCCTTATCCCATCAACCCGCCTCTGGCCTGATTGACTCAGCCAAGCAAGGCAGCCCTGCACTAAAGCCTGACCTGTCAGGTGAGATGACAGTGATAACTGACTCCACCCTCCCCTCATCTTCTTTATCCCACCTTCCCCCATGACAGTCTTGTCCCCTAGGAAAAGCCCCTTCTCCTAGTCCAGCCCTCCTGCTGCTAAGGAACAGAAGGGGAATGGGAGCAGGTAGGCCTGGGAAGGGGTTAGACATCCAGTCTGTGAACTTCCAGGGCAAGCCAGAGCTCCTGACTGTCCCCACTGTCCCCATACACAGTGCCTGCTATCCCTCTGCTGTTCCACTGTGACCCTTTGTTCTGATGTCCGTTTGGGAGAGGGATCTGGCCATGAGCTCCTGTGCAAGGATCATGCTCTTCTTGCCCCGATCCCTCTAAGGGTCTCTGGTAGGTCGGCAGGTAGGCAGAAGTCTCTGGCCTGACCCATTTGTAGAGGAGAACATTTCCATTCCCCTGGGACCTCCAGGGCTTCCTTAGACACAGTGTACTTCTCTGGCAGTAGAATTCCTTCCCATAACTAATGGAGCCAGGGAGGTGTTCTGCCAAGGTTTTGTTCACAGACTGGCTGGCAAGGAAAATGAACAGAAACTCTGAACTCAACCGGCAGCATGGGGCTTGGGAGAGGACAGGAGTGGGGGGTGGGTAGGGCACACAGTACCCAGGGCCCAAGCCTGGGATCCTGGGATCCTGGCATCAGAAGTGGTGTGGGGGAGGGGCAGTAGCAATAGAATTGACAGAAGTGGGCTTGGGTCCTGATGTGTCCTGGCAGAGTTGTGTGTCTTGGGATACAGAGCTGATATGTTTCTGAGCTTGGTGTTTCTGGTTTTCTTATTCGAGATGCAGACCAATAATACCTTCTTCCTATGAATTTGATTTGATTTGAGGGCGTTTTTTTACTTTTCATTTTTATTTTTATTTTTATTTTTTTAAGACAGAGTTTCTCTGTGTAGCCTTGGCTATCCTGGAATTACCTCTATAGACCAGGCTGGTCTCAAACTCAGAGACCTGCCTATCTCTGTTTCCAGTGTGTTGGGATTAAAGGTGTGTGCCACCATCGCCCAGCATTTTTTTTTAGAAGTGTCTTGTATATATGAGGATGACTTTGAACTCCAAATCCTTCTGCCTAAGCTTCCTGATTGCTTGGATTACATCACCATATGCTTCATACTGTTTCAAGGCTGATCTGAGATGATGTGTGTAGTGCAGCTGTTTTCTTTAGGTTTGACATAAGCATCACCATCTTGAAGCAGGGCAGGTATGGTGATTTGGGAAGACCTTGACCACAGGCAAGACAAAAGAATAATCAGACAATGCTAAGTCTAGGACAACCCAATTACCCTATCATAACCATATTATGCTGCTATTATCCTATTGTAGATATTATATAGTTTTTTTTTTTTTTTTTTTTTTTGGTTTTTTCGAGACAGGGTTTCTCTGTGTAGCTTTGTGCCTTTCCTGGAACTCACTTGGTAGCCCAGGCTGGCCTCGAACTCACAGAGATCTGCCGGCCTCTGCCTCCCGAGTGCTGGGATTAAAGGCGTGCACCACCACCGCCCGGCTATATAGTTGTTAAGTCCAGGATAATGAGGCCATTAACACTCCCTCATGGAAGGAGGGAGGTGGGAGGTTCTCCAGTCCTTGGTCTGAGATTCCAGTCACCATTCCCTCCTGACCCAGCTGCACAGGATCTTGGGGGTGGTGGGATATATGAGGGGCAGAAGGTTGAGTTGGGGTGGGGCTCTGGCGGTAGAAACACCCATGAGTCACCCATGTTCCTGTAGGTAAACCAGTAGTTCATTAGTTCAGCAGTCTAGGAAGAATCTAGCATAGCACCGTGGGAGTGTGAAATGGTGTCTTTCTAGGGTTTTAATTTCCATTTCCCCAATGACTATTGATGAGGAATATTGTCTTAGGGTTTCTGTTGCTGTGAAGAGACACCATGACCATGACAACACTTTTTTAAAATTCACTATTATTATTTATTTTTATTCTTTTAAAAATTAATTATTAATTTATTTTACATACCAACCACAGCCTCCCCTACCTCCTCTCCTCCCTCAACCCTCCTTCAATCCACCCCTCCTTTGTATTGGGCTAGCTGTTTCTTGGGTTTTCCCTGATGTCCCTGACCTCCATGGCTCCTACAATCCCTCCTCCCACTCCTCAGCAGGACTCCCTGGCTCAGCCCAATGTTTGGCCACACTGTGGCAACCCTTATACAGGAAAACATTTAATTGGGGGTGGCTTACAATATCAGAGGTTTTGTCCATTATCTTCATGGCTGGACATGGTAACATGCAGGCAGACATGGTGCTGGAGAAGGAGCCGAGAGTTCTACATCTTGATCTGCAGGCAGCAAGAGCAGCTGTGTTTCACACTGAGCATAGCTTGAGCGAAGGAGACCTCAGAGCCCATCCTCAAAGTGACATACTTCCTCCAACAAGGTCATACCTACTCCAGTAAAGCCAGACCCCCTAATAGTGCCACTCCTTATGGGGCCATTTTCTTTCAAACAGCCACAAATGGCTTTTACACGCTTATTGCTCGGTCAAATATGCCCTTCAGAGAAATGTTTATTTAGGTCATTTATCCATCTTGCCAATGGGTTATCTCTCTCTAAATTATTGAGCTTTAAGGTTTTATTTTTTAATATTTATTTTATATTATGTTTATATCTGTTTTGCCTGTATGTATGTCTATGAACCACATGTGTGCAGTGCCATTGGAGGCCAGAAGAGGGTCTGATCCCTTGGAACCACAGTTACAGATGTTTATGAGCACCCATGTAGATGCCAGGAACTGAACACGGGTCCTCTGGAAGACAGCAGCAAGAGCTCTTAACCACTGAACCATTTCTCCAGCCCTGAGCTTTAAGGCTTTGAAAACTATACTATAGACACAAGTCCTTAACTAGATATTTAATGTGCAAATATTCTTCTGTGCATTTGTATTACTATTTTCTTTTCTCTTTTCTGATTTTTTTTTTACTAATTCTTTGAAAATTTCTTACAATGTATTTTGGTCATATTCACCCTCACCTCCTCCCCTTAACCTCCCTTAGGTTTTCCCAGATCCATCCCCACCTCTCTAACTCCCCAACTTTGTGTCTTCTTTTAAAATTTTTATTTAATAACCCATGGACTCCACAGCATGCTGTTAATATACTTGTAGGTGTCAGAGCATCCAATGAAGCATGATCAAACTGCCAGGTCCAGTCTGGCTTTGTAGATGAGGTTGGAACCAAACTCCTGATTTTCCTGTCTCCATATCCCAGGTGCTGGAATTACAGGCTTGTGACACCTACCTGGATGAATTTTCTTGATGACATTCTTTGTATTATAAAGGTTTCCACTTTGATAAAGTTCAATTAATTTTTTCCTCTTGTTACTTTTGGAGTAGATTTAAAAAACGTTTGCCTGATCCAAGAGCATGAAAATTTACTCCCACGTTTTGTCTTAAAAGTGTCGTTTAAGACTTTGATTCATTTTGAAGTAATTTTCTGTATTATATACTGCAGGGCCCAATTTTATTCTTTGGCACATGGGTGTCCATTTGTCTCAGCACTAGTTTTGAAAACACCATTGTTCCTTCATTGAACAATTTCTGTGTCCCTGATGAAAATGAATTGATAATAAATTTTAAGGCTATGTCGGGACTGTCAGTTCTAATCGATCACATTACAAGTCAGTCCTTACGCCAGACCACACTGCTATAGCTTACAGTAGGTCTTGAAATTAGGAAACAAGAGACCTATGGCTTTATTCTCATCTCTCAAGGTTGTTTGACCCATTCTGAATTCCTTGACTAGTTTGAAGAAAAGTAGCAGCTAGGATTAGGATAGAAGTGCATTGATTAAGTCTGCTGATTAATTAGTTTAGGGTATATTGATATCTTAACAATTTGAAGTCGGGGTGGAGAGATGATTAGCCATTAAGAGTACATACTGGCTGGGAAGTGATGGTGCATGCCTTTAATTCCAACAGCTGGGAGGCAGAGGCAGGTGGATCTCTGTAAGTTCGAGGCCAGCCTGGTCTAGAGAGTTAGTTCCAGGACAGCCAAGGCTACACAGAGAAACCATGTCTCGAAACCCCCTCCTCCCCCCACAAAAAAGAGTACTGCTCTTGCCGTGTTCAGTTTGAAGTATCCATGTAGAGTGGCTCACAACTGCTTGTACCTCAAGCTCCAGAAGATCTGAAGCCCTTTTCTGGATTCTATGAGCACCAACAGCAATCACAAATGCACATACTCTCTCTCATATACATATAATTAAAAATAAAATAAACCTTTAAAAACAATTTAAAGTCTGATCCATGAACTTTAAAACTCCTAAAGTTACTACATACACATCATAAACTCAGTGTTACCTGACTTTTCAGGTCACAAAGCTGGCAGTAGGTACACACCATCGAATGTCAATGTGCATTCATGATGAGCACAAATAATCCCTGGAAGCAAGAGCAGGTTGCATGAGGAAGTGGCCCAAGTGGCCTGCTTACTTTCCCCTCCCCAGCCTGAACTTATAGTCTCCCTGGTGAGCTCTCTGTAATGGACTGAGTAGGAACAAGCGCATGCTGGTTATAGGTGGTTCTATGTGATGTGCCTGCCCTACTTGCAAGTTAACAGCTGGAACACTGTGTGTCTTTCTGGAACATGCCTGAGGTCAGTGGTGAAGAGAAACCCTCCAGGGGACAGGACACCGAGCAGGGCATTTGTTTGTTCCTTTGGTTTAGAAGAATAAATGGCTTATTTACAGCTAAAAGTCTATATTGACTAAAGCACACTGGCCATGAGTTGGCTGGATGTGCGGCTAGAGAGTCAGGGACTTGGATAGAACTCAGTTGGATAATTTGTGAACATTATGTATGGGGAGAGATCTGTGGATAACCATCCTTGAACTGAAAAAAGTAAAAAAAAAATATTGTGTCTCATATGAATGCTCACAAAAGGGTCTAAATAGAAAAAGAGTTGGTTAATTAATCGGATAGGTGACATTTTCTGTGTATATCCGTTAAGCCGCGTTCCCTCGACACCGTGCAGTGGGATCAGACACAAGCAGCTAAAGGTGTCGGGGGTGGAGGTCGTGCTTGGGTTCAGCGGTACAGACTGTGTCCCACTTTCATTCTCTTTACCTTCACTCTTTGTTTAAAGTTACTATTTATTTAAAGTTTTTTCATTTTACATACTGCCCGCTGTCCCCCCTTCCTCCCCTTCTCCCGCTCCCCCGCAACTCTGCCCATCCCACCCCCACCCACTCCTCATAGAGGGTAAGGCCTCCCTTGGGTATTCAACACAGGCTGGCTTACCAAGTTGAGGCAGGCCCAACCCCTCCCCACTGCATCAAGGTTGAGTAAGGCATGGCACCATAGGAAATGGGCTCTAAAAATGCTAGTCCATGCACTTGGGATGAGTCCTGGTCCCATTGCCAGGGGACCCACAGACACATCAAGCCGCACAACTGTCACCCTCATTCAGGGTGTCTCATACAGGCTCCCCAGCTGTCAGTCCAGTGTCTGTGGGCTCCCACTAGCTTGGATCCGCTGTCTCTGTGGTTTTTCCCATCATGATATTGACTCCCCTTGCTCCAAT